TGATGAAATGAGTCTATATTATTGCTCCAAAGCAACTGCACTGGTATTCATCTATGCATCAAAATGTAAAAAAAATTTCATATTATTATTATTATTATTATTATTATTATTATTATTATTATTATTAAACAATTTGCAAAGTGTGAACAGAAGAGAAACAATGAAAAGAAATTCAATTATTTTAATGCTAACCTTTTCTAGTTTACACTTCAGTGTAAAAATCTCATCACTCAATTCTAAAAATTTTTTCCTGAGAGTTGATCTAGACCTTTTAACGGGTCTTGAATGAGCTTTTTTGTCTCTGAGTAGCTGAACAACCTATAAAAATATGATTCACTGTGTCATCCATGAGCGCTATAAAATGCTCAGATTACTTTAAAACCATACAAGGCAGCCAAGATGAATGAGAAGTAAACAAATAACGTCCCAATGCTATAGCGCAAGATAAATTTTATCATTCCTGCTTCAGTGTAGCCATAAGTAGCAATAAGACTAATGCCATAGTTGAAAATATATATCATTATGGACACAGTTGCAGTAAGAATAGCCAACTCTCCTTCACTTTTATAGTGCCGTGTTATGCGACAGTTCCAAGACCCCAGGTAAATGATCATTATCAAAAGAATTACAAAGTAAACTGGAATTGCAGCACCCCATCCAAACGATGAAGCCTCAATGCAGTGATCCTCTATCAGTGATGACTCTATGTTATCAGGCTATATGCATCATCATAATTTGAGTTTATATGACTGGATAACTTACATAGCCGGGGCAATTATGATCAGGAAATGAAACTTGATATACTTTCAAAGGTTTAAAGAGGTGTATCAATATGAGTATTATAATAACAGGAGCACAGATAATAACCATCCAAATGTACAGGACTGTGTTTGATAAATATTTCTAAAGGAGCAAATCAGGACAGATAATACATGGACAGGGACACTTAATTACCCTATCTTGCTGTGATGGGTTGTGAAATATTTGAAATATTCTCCAGTTTTTAATCAATATGGTAGAAAAGATTAATAAAAATGAAAGGCTTATTGATGACATTGCCACCTATTGATGCAGAATAAAAATAATAACAATACTTATAATATACTTACATTGCATATTGGTCCTAGCTTTCCTTTGCCAGTAAGGCCAATGTAATAATTACCAAGGAATAACAGGCAACTAATATAACCCAATGTACAACCAAATGTAATGATTGCATTAAAAATGGGAGATGACCCTTTAAAATATCTATTGAAATAAATGGAATGTTTAATGTTAAAAGTATAATGCTATTCTCACTTGTTATTTCTCCATCTATAATTTAAAATCTGTAATAATATACTGATTATGATTCCTATGATTAAAACTATTATTAGAGATACAAAAGAGGCTATTATGCTGCTATCAAGAGGCTGCCTGCAAGTAATTGTTCTATTTGATTGAAATCCATCTTCTGGTTGATAATTACCTACATACACAATTATATTGAATTCCAACACTTGTATACTGTATCATACCTTTCCAAGTCACATTACAGCAATATTCTGTTTCACATTCTTGCAGGTGATGAGTACTGTTAGTTGAGTCATAATAGCCTATTATACACTCTTTGCCATCTTTCAAATAATATAAGGAGTAGAAATAATTGTTAATACACAGACCAACTTCAAATAAGTCTTTAAAATAATTATAAAAATAAATGTAAAGTATAACAAGTTGCAAATAAACATTAACGAGTTGTTTCTAAGGTATAACATGCACACACTATCATTAATCATATCCTCATATTATACCATGGTGCGTGGGTGGCTACCATGGAAACCTTTGATGTTTAGCAGGAGTTATATGCCCATAACCACCCTGCAGACAGTGTGGAATTTGACAGTTTACATAAGAACAATACTGCAATACTTTACCATGGCATAAGTCAGATCTACTCTTGGTCAGATACATCCCTGTCTGGAGGTGGTTATGGGCATA